AAGTGTCTGCAGGCCTGCGGGCCACGACAATAAATACAAAACGCACTTCGCCGTTTTGGCCACAAGTGTTTGACATTGTTGACATGGCCCAAACATGAAGCCCCCTTCCGCCAAATGTTGGCCTTCGATTGATTTCTGGCGTTTAGTGCCGCACAAAAGATTCTTGGAAATATAATAGCTATTTCTGCTACTATGCAATTTCCACTCGTTGTCCATTGTCCTTAAATGTCCTTCGTTCGTGCACCTGTTGCCGTCATTTCGATTTTACCCTCATGCCCATACGCCGTTCGTTTTTATGTTCTGTTCGTGGTGCTTATTTTAATTAAAGTTTAGTTTAAGCCACCTTAATAGCCTTATTTTTAATGGAATTTTAGTTTTCACTTAGACCGACTCTCTTTCTCTGTCCGCTCTTCAGCTATATTCATCCTTTTATACCACACGTTCACGACATTTTCCTAAAAGCAAATGCAACTTTTGTAATTTCATGGTCTATTAAACTCATTACTCCGACAGTTCTGTAAGTTAAATCTAATCGAAAGCAGGAGAGTTCGTTAAATGCAAAATTTACTAATCGCTAAAACCAGCTGACATATGAAATTTGAAATGAGTATTTCTCTCACTTCAGTACATTACATTACGACCGTGTAATGTTTTTTACGATTTTTACCATCTTTCACTGTGAAAATGCACATTCGAAGTGACCACATTGCGCATACGCCACATGGGCGGAGCATGGCAACTCAATTAGATAAAGTTTATAAGAGTATTAGGGTCAAAGTGAGAGCTTTGGCAAAGTTAGCCCACAGACTCTGAATAACCCGATGGAATTTGATTAAATAAAAGGACAAACATATATATTAAATGCCTTATTTTGTGTTTGTGAGACGCTTTAATATCTGTATGCCTTAATGTTCAATGTCTATGCACTATAAATATCAGAAATATGAATGCCCAAAATTAAAAGCACTCTAGCTAATTAACCAAAAGCCAAGCAAATCAACTCTACTTTGTGTTTTTTTGTTTAATGTCTTTTGGCGTGCCGCGGATCATAAGGAGCCGAAAAGCAGCACCCTGAATTTCTCGTCGTTCAAATCAAGCTTCACTTCCAATGTTAATTTCCTGAAGAGAAGGTAAAGACCTTAAAAAAGGAAGTGCCCCTGGCCCCCCGAAAAAGGGGGCGGGGCCCAGTTGAACGAAACTAATTTGAAATTTCATATGTTCGTCTATTTCTCTCTCTATCTCCGTTTCTCCTTCTCCGGCGGTATTTTGTGCCGCCCCATTTATTTGTTTCTCATCCTGCCCCCACTCAATTGCGCTGCACCATTTAACCTGTCTACTTGTCTGGCGGTTGGGCAAACCACCGAACCAATCAATCAACCAAACACCCCGAACCACACAACCACTCGAACAACAACCACACCAACAACCACACCACAACTACTAACAGATTCAGCTCGGGAGACTTGTCTTCCGAGGTAGACGATGTCGATCCGAATAGCCTGCCGCCGGCGGCGCGTCCCATCCAGGATCAGCCGACGAAGCCGCCGGCCGCCGGCGGACCGCCGAGCATGCCGCCACCGCCGGCACCCGGCCAACCGGCCGGAGCTGCTCCAGAGCTGTCGCTGAGCTTTGGCGCCGGCAAGGCGCCCGCGACCTCGGCCCCCGCACCACCCCGTGGTGTCAGTGCGCCGACCAGTCCGGCCAAGTCGCGCGAAAGTCTGCTGCAGCGGGTGCAGAGCTTGACCGGCGCTGCCCGGGATCAGGGAGCCTCCATCTTGGGTATGCTTGGCAGGCAGACTACACTCAGAAAAAAATACAAGCCACTCAGTGTCATGACATCCTTTGACATAACATAAACTTCATAAACAACAAATATGAATATCCTTTTTACTACCAAAACGAATTTAAATTGCTTTTTATTCCTATCCTAATTTTTGGTATAATATCATAGATTAGTTGATCATTTTAGAAAATGTATTTCTATCGTTATTGTTACTTGTTTAATAGGCAATAGAAAACCTTTAGAATCGTTCCCTAAAGCTAACAAAGTTATTATACAAGTTACAAAAGTTTTTTTTGCCAAAACAATCATAACCATTCTTAAACGAAAAATCAATTAAAAACTAGAATACAAAATATAATAATATAGTCACTATTCTGACAAACAAAACTGCATTAATAATTTAAGACATAAGCAAATATCCCAAGAATTATCTATTCAAATAAGGAAGTATAGCCAATAAAAGGGACTCGTAAAGTAATTTTTTTCTGAGTGTAGGGACTGTTAAATGGTCTCTGGGCAAGGAATGACCTCTAACCCAAAACAGGAGCTGCGGTTCAGAGCGCCACACAGCGAGCTCCGGCCTTCACCAAGGACAAGTACTTCACGCTGTTGGTTTTGGATGACCAGAACACGGACTGGTCCAAGTACTTCCGGGGCAGGCGATTGCACGGAGACTTCGACATCCGAGTGGAGCAGGCCGAGTTTAGGGCAAGTACCTCCGCATTTCTCTTCCGTTAATCGGGCTAATTACTGTGTGTCCTCTGCAGGACATTACGGTGGTCTCCAGCGCCGACACTGGACCGGTTGTCACCATGGCTGCCTATCGCAGTGGCACTCGGGTGAGTTATCTAATGCACTCGTAAAAAATATGTAGTTTCATTTTGTAATCTTAGATATTAAGAATTTTTATTCTTTTTTTTTTTTATAATTTAATTTATATTTTTATTTGGTATTACTGTTACCGCTGGGGCAACTTGATCTAGTTACATATGGGAAAAACAAAAACAAAAAGATCACTTGATCACATATACAAGTTTGACAATATCTTACATTTTACTACATTCATATACATTTATGTTATGGCCCTTGAGGGTAAATCGGCTGGGTGGCATCTTTTTAGGCGTCTTCTCGTCGGTTGCGCTGCTAACTGTCTGGCCAATGCGTTAGGATGGTTTCCAAGGCGTTGCACATAGCCGGTTGCCAGGTTTTGTAAAACGTCTCCGACCTTGGGGACCTTCAGGTCCTTCTCGATGTCCCTATTTCGGATGTACCATGGGATCACCTTGTATATTGCAATCTTATTGCGCAGGGTCAGCTTGTTCTGCGATGAGAGCAGCCACTCCATTCTCTTGGCCTTCTGCAGGACAGAATGCTTTACCATTGTGGTGTGTGCTTGGAAGTTGAGCGTCCTGTCAAGTATGACACCCAGGTATTTGTGGGACTCTTTGTGCTCCAGTGTAGAGCCCGACATGGTGATCTCACCGCAGGACTTAGTTCTCGTTGAGAAAGTAACGTTTGCGCACTTACTGCTGTTGACTCCTATGTTCCACAGAATTTTTATTCGATAAGCTTATAGGCCATTACAGGTTTATTACCATAAATTTACTTAATGGTAATGTCTTATCTTAAAGATGACAAAATGAAAAGACAGTACAAATCGGAAATAAACATAAAAAAGCTTATACTGTAAATAACTCAAAGGAGGTATTTTTATAAGAAACTGATTTCGTGAAATCATTTTTCCCAGTGTGCCCACCTGGGTTGTTTGCGCTTAATTAGTGCAAAAGCAGTGGCCAGTAGTCGTAGATCCAGCTTCTCAGTCAGGGATTAGATTGTCTGTCAGTATCCTGCAGAGTAATAGGAGTGTTAAAAGCGACTGTCCCAAGGACGTGGGTGGATGGACTGATGGGTGGGGCTTTATACACTGCCCATGGAACACAAAGGAGCTGGTCGTCTATTGGCAGTCTTTTTCCCTTATCCCGTATTTGCGTAGCACGGAGCTCGCCACTCTGGCGCTCTATTTCCATTTGTTTATTTCAAGTCGTTTTGTGGACTTTACGATGCTGCTGTTTTTGCAATTGCGTGTGTCAGTGGCAATAAAAGACACTTGTAGCTGGGAGGGAATACGAATGCAAACGTCCACTATGACACACTTGTGTCTGCCAGGAAATTAGATGCCAGCTGTATTACGATTGAAGGGTTTTCAAACACAAATAAAGTGTATTTTATATAACTCAAGTGAAATGTGCATTCGTTCTGCTTAAGTTAACCAGCAGTGCTTGGTTTCAATGAACATTTAACTACGTTTGTAAACATATAGGAAAGGAAAGTGGAATTTACTCATATCTTGTAAAAGTATATAAATAGTTTAAATAGGTATTTGAAATGAATAAAACTAGGTACTCACCCCATTCAAGTTTAACGTCCACCATCAAGAACTTTAACTTTTTGAAAAAATTACAGGAAACGCTCCCAAGCGTCACGACCGAAATCATACTCTCAAGACTGCCAGCATTGCCATTTTTTGTTGAACTGGCTCGAAACTCCCAAAAGTATGCTACTAAAAACAAGTGTTAGATGTTTTTGCTACTAGACGCCAGGTGGCGCTGATCGATGATTATTCAATGATAGGCACAGCAAAAATATAATAAATATTTGGGAATAGTAATACTTGGGATAATTAAATATCCATATCAGTTCGAAAAAAAATTAAAAAAAAAGATTTTTATTTTATTATTTTTATGTATTTTTCGTTTTTAAAAATTACAAAATGTATTTCCAGCTTTTGGCATTCTAAAAGCTAAGTAAAGTTTCTCTTTAACATTATTTTCTACATTTTTTTTTTGGAATATCACACCAAAACAGGTGGCACGTTCCTTTCGGCCGGACTTTGTCCTGATTCGCCAACCGCCACGCGACGGATCCAGCGACTTTCGCTCCACGATCTTGGGCTTAAAGTACGGCGGAGTGCCCAGCATCAACTCGCTGCACTCGATCTACCAGTTTCAGGTGAGTTGTGGACATCTTAGTTTCGGGATGCCCACTCAAATGGATTTGTTCTGCTTTTTTTTTTGCTTGTGAAGGACAAACCCTGGGTCTTCTCGCATCTGCTGCAACTGCAGCGGCGCCTCGGACGCGACGGCTTCCCGCTGATTGAACAGACCTTCTTCCCCAATCCACGCGATTTGGTAAGTGTACATGGTATAAACATTAAAAGCTAGACACTAATTAAGTAGCTGCTACAGAGCCGGTTACAAGTTCAAAAGCATCAATTAATCAATAACACATTAGGCATAACGTACGTATTAAAGCTCTGGACAGAGAAAAACGGTAGCATAACAAGGGAGCGGACTGTAGGGATAAAACTGATAGCATTACGGATAGCTCAGGCACTTTTTGTACATCTGCGTGCGTCGCCAGCGGCACCGAGAAATCACTCCATTGTCCGTCTGCCTTGTATGCGGCACGCAGACGCTGTATTCCGTCTCGCATTTTCCATTTGGCGACCACTTGCACTCATCCGCATGAGGGTGGAACCTAAAGCAACTCGTTCCGTAGCAGGGAATTACCTGGCAAAAGTAACAGTAAATTAGGATTTAAATTTGACTAGTTGGGTTAACCCATGACTCACTTCGCAACTGCTACCCTTGGCATAGCCGCCGCTGAAGCCATGGCGCTCCGTGATGGTCATCTTGGTGTACTCCTTGTAGTAGCTGCAAATGTTCAGCATCGGCAGTCTGCCCGCTACGATATAGATCTTGCCGAGTTCCAGCTTGATCCCGCACATGCCATCATCGCGGGGCGTGGCAAGGCGACCATCGCGCAGCATATGACGTGCCTCGGGAGTTGCCTGAAACCCAAAATATTTTTATGAAATAATACAAAAATATTTTCTTTGATTGGATATTATAATTTGAATTTGAAGTTAATTCACGAAATAAGAAGCCTAAGATCCTCTTTTTTCAAGTAATTAATTTAAAAAATAGCCCAATTTCGCTACATTTCTACTTGGTAGAGAGTTAATAACATTCTTGACTTAATGATGAAACTATGAACTTGAACTTGACCTTATAATTTTTATTTTTGAATGTCCAGATGTATATAGTACAGATGTACATTTCTTATTTATTATTATCTCTTTAAAAAACTGAAGAGTACAAGCTATAACTATCGTAACCATAATTACCATGTAAAAGATCTAAGCCTTCGGATGAAGATAACTCAAACCGTGTTTAATAATAATTGAATGTCCTCTAAAACTCAATTACATAGTATTTAAATAGAATATGGCTTTAAGGTGCCAACGACTTAAGAAATAATGCTGCTATTTGCAACAACTCATCGCTGTGCGTGCTTACATACCTTGTAGGTGCGTTTGATATGAACTTTGTAGGTGGTCTTGCCCGGCTCGATGGTGTCTGATTTGCGAAGGACTCGCAGCTGCACAACTGTCAAGGAAGCGTTGGCATTTACTTGAATTGAATTCTCCGGGGATTCAGCTGCAACTTACCATAGTCCGCCCGGGCGTAGTGCTTCTGTGGGTGCATCCGCTCGCAGCTGCAGGCGTCCGCTGGGCGACCGTAAAACGCGAGTACGGCGACTAGGACGAGTGTCATTAAACCCAAATGCTTTCTAAAATCCATGGCTGCGCTGGTTTGCGAACAGATAAAATGGCTTTATGTCGCCGCCTGTGAGTCCCCCAAGATTACTGTAAAGGGAGCGGAAAATGAAGAAAATTGAGATTGCTTTTTACGTTTCGCGGCAATGGTTTAATGGGAAAACGCATATAATGACTGTCGTGCTGAAGGTCACTAAGAGTTTAATTATGTCTATCATACTTATGTCATTCGGCTTATCAATGGAGGCCAGGCAGGCAGGCAGGCATGCATTCAGCCTTCCATCAATCGACCCATCAATCCTCTGCTCAATTATGCATTTAATATATTACACATACGCCCTGTGTGTCAGCAATTAATCGCGCCTTCTGTCACAGGCACGCACGCACAAACTCGGATCATCAAGAGCATTATGGACAAAGCACTCGACTGGCATTCCCATCCATCTTTATTCTTTTTTGATTGGATTGAGCTGAGCCCGAAGCCATATTCTTCTTTCATCAATATTTTATTCCAGACTTACGCAAAGACGTTTCAGCAGTCAATTTAGAATGCATAAATCGCACAAAAGTAGTTCAATTGCCCGGGCCTTTCAATTGAAAATTGTTTATGGGAAATTCATAGAAAACTTGAGACGCACAAATCGAAATCCATTACAAAACCGATGCTATACCGCATATCGATGAGATACCACTACCACACGGTAGATGCACAAACGCATTCACTATATGCCCACATACATATATGTATATTAAAGCGAAAATATTGTATAATATCGAGAGTGGAAAAGGCAGGGCAATCAGCTGCAGCTCCCGATTCAGCGTTGTTGTCGAACCGATCGACGCAGATAGGCAGGTCCCATATAGACAGACCTATGGCCATATGCACGCCAGTCTATCTATCTATCCCGATTTCCCGCTCCTCGCGTTTCCCATTCCCCCCGCTGCATGGAGTCTACGGCCCGGCAATGTGGCAATTAAATTGAAATAAAATTGAATTAAAAGCATTTTGCGGAAAAGCCACTAGAAAACACACGCACTGAGGGAGCGCGGGAAATGGGGAAATGGGGAAAATCGACGGACAGACCTGCATGCGTGAATCGTGCATCGTTGGGTGGTAAATTACCGGGTGGCGGGGTCGCCAGCTATTGATTGAATGCAAGCCAACAGGCAGGAGTAATGCATCAAACTATTTATTAAGTGGCAGGCCAAGTGGCGGCCAGACAAGCAGACGCGCTGGCTAATGGGCTAAACTGGAACACACACTGGCAAAAAGTCAGTCAAATCAGGAGTTGAATGATTTATCTGCCATTATTTTTGATGGCCTTTTTTATAAAAACATGTTTGAGAAAAGTGTAGTGTTTTTTAAAAATCGAAAAAAAAAAAAAAGTAAATTAAGCATTAACAAATTCCACTCAAACTTTCATGGCAAAAAAAAACAATTTTTAAATACTTTTTTTATTTTTTATAATATAATTTAAAATGCTTAATTGCTCATCATTTATTTTAACCTTACTTTTGTGAGTGTATACTTTTAAAGCCACACATTTTATGATTTTAAGCAACATTTCCCTCAAGAGTTTTTTAGTGCTTTCCTCCACACTGAGTCATTTAATAAAATTATTCGAAACTTCATTAATTAAAACATTTTATCTTATTAAAGTGATTCTAGTTAGAAAGTTTTCCCAGAGTACCAAGATATATACATGAATAGAGGGTGGGAGAAATAGTGTCTGTGTCGTAATGTCATGGGAGAATGTTTCGTAGAAGGAAAGCGCCGCATGTCTCTGAATTTTTCTTTTCCTGAGGCTGTGACACTTTGCCCGGCAATTAACGGCGCGGATTTGTTTAACAAACAGGCCGACAACACAGTACTAGCAAGAGTATTGGGGAAAAAAAAACAAAAAACAAACAAACAGCCGGCCAAAAGGCAACAAAAAGTGGCACACACACACTCACCGAAAACGTCATCGACGTTTAGCAGATAAATCAAGTTGAGAGGGCCAATTGGCAGCAAGAAAAGCGTTTTAGAGACGTTGAAAATTCGCACGATTTCATTGGGACTCCTTTCCCTCCCCAAAAGCCATACAGATGTATGTCTCTTTATTTAGATATTCACCCATGTCTGAATGCACAATTAGCGTGGCCATATATCACAGCACGCAGGCATAGTTTAAACTGCAGCAACAGCCTGTCCACGGAGTTTTGGATCGGGGTTTTTTCATTTTTGTTTTTCGTTCGGTCGGAAAATGCTCCCCGTGTTTGTTGACAAGCTCAACACATGTCAATTAAATGTTATATATTATGGCACACGGCGGCCACTCCACACACACCCGAACGTGCCGCATTTGACGTCACTTCACGCCCCTTCTAATTGACACACTTGTTGGCCGCTCTTGTCTGCTATGAAGTTCCTGTGTCGTCAGCATCATTGCTGTTGACATTTGACACTGGTTTCCATTTCGAGAGGCTGCCATCCACTTATGCGGGCTAACCAAACAAAACAAGCAAATTTCAAAAGATATTAACTCAAATATCGGATCGAGTTCAATTGGCATTGATTTCCACTGTGCCCTTAGGGCACTTAAAGAATGCCGGCCACAAAAAAGTGGGCAATTTGTATTGGGGCTCATTAAATATTTTAGTGGAACAGAATTTGTACATAATTAAATTAAAAAGTACTCACACACATATAAGAAATCAAAATGGGTTTCAAAGTGAAAAGTTCTCGAAAAATATTTGTGTTTTATATTGGATATTCTATACTTAAAATCAATTTTCTCCATTTTATTGTACATTGATTACAAAAATATACCAATGCTCCTAATAATACAAATATTTATATTTTGGATCTTATGGAAAACCCATGATAACCGAAACATTATTTTCATAAAAACTAGTTACAAATGTATTATTGCTTTACAATGAGACCCTGACAATATTGATTGCTTAAAATTTGAATAATTGAATTACTGTTACTGCTTCATAAAACCTAAATCAAGCCTAAAAGCATCACCCATTTAGCATTATGCAAATTTTATGATTAACACTTGCCCAGACAGCCAGACAGAAAGCAGAAACCAGAGAGATTTCCCAGGTGAATTCAAAGGGATTGGCTAAGGTCAGACATGAAAAAGAGTAAGCCCAAGAAATAAAAGAAAAAAGTACACAAAAAGGATTTTCTGGCTTGGAAGCTAAAGCACCTAAACGCTTTCGGTTTGGTTCACCTTTTTTCGGGTTGTTGGTCGTCGGGTTAAAAGTGCGCCAAAATGGTGGTAAAATGTGGCCAAAGCCACATAATTAATGCGATTTTGGTGGCTGTTTGGTGCTTTCAGGAAAAATGGCAAATCGGGGATGGCCAGTGCTAGTAATCCGTTGAGAGGTTTGGTTTATGAGCACTTAATTGGGGCCATTAATAGAGCGTAATGTGTGTGTGGACCCACAAAAGTTTTGACAGCCCGATGCACTCCACATAACAAAAGGCTAAATGCATGGACATAAAAACCTATTTATAACTTTCGGATCTTTCGCCTATATTGCACCGCTCTCCCATTTACGATGCTTGATTTTTGTGTCTAATTGGATCTCATCAGATCGTTTTTCCATGGATCTAGAGAGTGATTTATGGTCTTGTTTTGCTTTATATAGTAAGGGATAAAGTGCAATATGCGTACCTAGTTAGCGTATTATTCTTATTCTTATTCAGCTCATAACTAATTACACAGTTGTAGATAACGAAGTGGTAGCTAACAGCTACTGTAAAATCTTATGCAAATTGTTCGTGTTTCTTTAAAAAACCAAAAAATATAAATTTCAGTTACTGAGTAACCGAAATTCGGGTCGACTGACATCGTTCTTGCTCGTTTTTTTTCAGCGGTCATTTACTTTTCAATATTGCTTTTTGTGGCAATTCGTTTATGTTTGTTTGTTATTGCTGATTGACTTTCTAAACAGTCGGGAATGGGTTCGCTTTGGGATCAAACTGCGCATTCCGATATTGGAATTTAATTTTACAGTATTCGCACAGCATTACAACGAGATGATGTCACTTTCTTGGGAAGATGAGGAGAACAACTTATCAGCAAGCCCTGAGACAAGATATATGTTATTTTAACTAGACCAAACAAATGTTTGCCAAAGTTACTGGGGCACAAACAACATCCATGAGCTTTGACTTTTATGGCACTTTTTGCAATCTCTGCCCAGTTCGATATTGGCATTCCATGTTTGCAGTATTGTCAATCATTACAACTAGATGATGTTACTTTCTTGGGAAAACTGAGAGAAAATCTTATCAGCAAAGCCTCAGAACACAAGATATATTATAACTAGACTAAAAAAATGCCACTGGGACACAAACACAAACATTAAACCAATAGCTTTGACTTTTCCGGCAGCTTTCTGCAATCTCTGCATTTCTGCCAATTTTCATAACGATGCTGGAAAACTTTCTTTGGCCAGCGGCATTCAGTTGAATACATTTTCCTTTGTCGGCAGCCTTTGCAACAATGGGGGAAAATTAAAGGAGAAATATCAAAGTCACGATCGGGCACTGGGCAATGCCATAATCAGCATGATCAATGCGGCCCAAACAAAGAGGCCAGGCCGCAGTGTTTTTTGATTAATGCCGCAGCTTGATCCCTGACCCGCAATGTTTGCTGTGCGGCGGGATTGGCAAGACCCAGAGATGGAGATCGAGCTATTGGCATTTACATGCACTCAGCGACACCTGACAAAGCCACTGGCATATACATAATTAAGCCCCGGAATCCGAGCTGATAAGAACCACTCCGTGGGGCTGCTAATTGAATCGCCAGCTGCCAAGAACTGATGAGATGCAATGGCTCCGCGGTTGACAGCTCTATTCAGGTGTGACGAAACGCCGTCTGGCAGACTAAGGCAACTATGCTCGGAATGTTTATTGCCTTGCGCCTCATTAACCCATGCACAACTGTGCCAGCGATTCTGACATCATTGCGCCGAAAATAAGTCTTACGCAGCTCTCATCATTTGGCCACTCGATGCAGTAGTCTTCGGGTCGAGGTCTTCGTCCCGCCTGTGAAAATAAACAAAAATTGCAAGCCCAAATTCGTCACGTTCTTTGCGAATTCATGTTAAGCCTCAAAATTAAAAAGCGAAACAGTAACGGCTCATCTTATAACACCAATTGTCTGGCGGCAAGGCGTCAACGTCGGCGTCTTAACAAAATAAACAAACATTTTACCCAGGATGCGTAACGAAAATTCAATTAAAAATGCTAATTCGCCGACGGGGGTAAACAAAAGTCCTACAAAACTGGAGAGCCCAAAGGTCTGGGGCTCGTCGAACAGTCGGTCGGGACTCACATTGCATTGGCATGGCCATAAAAATATAAATCTTTAATGAGCAAAACCCAAAGCATGTGCATATATAGAGTCGCAAAATAAACATATGTATGTTTGCAAATAAAATTGTTGTGGGGATTGCAATACAATGGAGTTCAGTGTGTGGGCTTGCATTTCGTTATCAAATTGCTAAATTTGCATAAAAATCAATAAACTGTACAAATACCCCAGCTGGCAGTTCAATTAAATATTAAAGCGATTTTCTGTGACAATACCGAATCGCCTTTCGTCAAGTTGGGTGATTTATTTCAGCATAACAAGCTCGATTCATGCCGGGTGACAGATCTTGTTAAAGACATTAAGAAAAGGACCAGAAAAGCAGCAGGCAATCTGACAAATTGACGGCCTCTGGCCCACACACACAAATGGAGGGACACTGGGGCCAAAAAGAAATCATTGTCAATAAATTGCCGCCTGACTTGTGAAATTTACGCAATAAACACGAAAGAAATGTTATTAATGGAAAGGAATACCAAATGCTCTTTGTCGCGGTGTCGCTGGCTTTAGCATTTCTTCTTAATTGTACAATAATATTTAATTGCAAGATTTGCACAAGAAAATTATTAATGGTCCCGGGATGAGCCGAATGTGGGTGTGTGTTGGCCGAAAAAGCCAGGCAAGTGTGATGGCATAAACAATCGCAATCCAATGTATCTGTATCGGCAGCCTTATATGGCGAAATGTCTGCCAGACTTTTTTGGGGCCTTAAAAGCCTGCGCCAAATAAGGGGAATTGAATGATGTGCGAGGGAAAAGTCACAATCGTCGGTTATGACAATTTTATTTGCTTGGCTTTGTGGCTTTTATTGCTGGCTGGTTGGGTTAAATGCGAAATCTAAGCAGAGCAGCCACCGCATTGATCGAATTCGCATTCTCGAAATTGCTGAAATAGGTAACCCAAGAATTAAAAATTCAACATATCGATTTCAATACGTGTAATTTTCTAAACTATTTATACGAGGGGTATTTATAACCGCGTATAGGGTGTTATTATTTCAGGTAATGCCCACCTTGCAGAAATATATGCATAGTATAAGAAATTCTTGACAAATAGTCTGTGACTAAGGAAACTATTGTCGATAGATAAAAAGAAATTACATTTTGTTCACTTTTCAAGAAATATGCTAAATATTTAATGGAAAATAATGAATAAGATATTATTAGGGCCAGAATTTTCTTGTATATTCACAGCAAAGGCAAGTTTTGAATATTAAAGTAAATTTCAAAGCAAATTATTTTGTATAATTTTTAAAAACTTTTTTTCTGTGTACTCTACTAACCGGGTTCTCTCATCATCAATAAGCTGTTGCGGTTAAGTTTTTTTTTTCCATATGGCAGTATGTGCAATAAGAAAGCAAACAATGAGTTCAATACAGAAATTAGCTCACTTTAAAAATTAAGTTTTACTCCTATAACAATACCACATTTTGATTTGCCAGGTGAAAATAAATGTCAGCATAGCAATTGGCCGAACATTTCCCAGAAAAGCAAAAAAGCCAAAAAGCCAATACAACTGCAAACTCATTTAAATGGCGTACAAACAACGAAAAGTCAACAGTAAAGCCAAAGTCAAATGAAGGAAAAATTATGAATATCCATGCGAAACAATGTGAGGTGTCGTGTCAAGAGAACACAATGCAAAAGAAAGGGGAATGGAAAAGCACTTCAAATATGCATTTCCACGCATTTCCCTCGGGCAGCTTGTTTCCCCTCGAGATTCGCTTGTAAATTTGATGGGTTTATGTGGTAGCAGTCGAATCATTTAATGTGTTTTCATATTTTTAGACATTAAATGGCCAATGCCAAAACACACATGACGTATGCGTGATATGGAAATACCTATAGCACAATCACACATACAAACACGCATTACTTTCCTTGACATCCAACAAATTTGTTACTTATACATCATTGATATGGCTGGGCTTTACGATCAGACGACATTGCACAACGAACGACTTGTATATTTTTTAATAGCTGCAGTTTGTTTACAAATTGGCGACATTAAAAACTATTAAGACAAATCGAAAGGCCAGAAGAATACTCGGGCTGCCCCAAAAGACGAAGGGAGGAAGGAAAATAAAAACAAATTATAAATAAACGCAAATAAATAGAGAGATCTGCAGAAGTGTGCGTGCGTGTTTGGATTGGAAAACTGTGTCGCTGTGTCAACGTCGCCACATTTCCCAGCGCGCGTTTTAAATAGCCCAAAAAAAACGCGTCTGTGTCGCGCGTTTTGCATACCTTCAATTTGAATCTTTTAAATGCCAAACAACTCCTCAACTAAAATAAAGTTAAATAAACATAGCTCTGTGTTTTAGCCTTTGAGCAGAAACATGAGTTTAGGCCTTTGACCACAACAAAATGTTTGCACAAAAATGGGAAAAACTGCAGAGTGCCGTTTTAATTTAATTAAAATCTTTTAAAACCAAAATAAACGTACACAAAAACCTATCTGTATTTTTGGCTCTGAGATAAATCTTGCTTGTATGAGAAATTGGCATTTTAGGCGACTGCGAAAATGTATGAATCATTTGAATATCCCCTAAAACTACAGAATAGCTAAATATTTATTTTATCTGAAGAATTTACAATTATGGCCATGGAGTGACGCAAAAAAATTAAAGATTAAATGCTTGTGTTCAAGTCTTCTAAAACTGAATTAAAACCAAACTAGAAACCTATTTTCAAAATTGTTAAATTCTGGCTGTTTAACACTTGACACAATGCGGAAATTAATGAAATCAATTAACATTTCAAGTCAAGTCATCTAAAAGTAAAAAAAAAAAGGAAAACCAACCTTAAATATTTTTACCTTAGAGCAGCAACCTATAATGGGGATACACTTGCACTTTTGGCGTTTGAACACTTGAACCCAATGGCACAAAAATGGGGAAAAGCTGAGGACTGTATTTTCACCGGCACTCGCACTCGACTCGACTCGACTCAACTACACTTGATACTATATTCTGCCGATCTCGCGATTTCTCCGTCGCCGATTTTGTGGCGTTCTAGCTCGCTGCGCTTGCGGTTCTGCACTGAATCGTCTCAACCGATTCGTCTGTTTTCTTAACCGAACGAAGCCCCAAACCCGAATACCCAGCAAATCTCACTCAAGTTGTTCGGGTAGTGAGAGATCGTATCGGTTCGGATCGGTATGGATCGGCTGAGTCTATATAGTTTGAGTGTTTCTCGCGGCAGTCGGCCGATCAAAAGCACCATAAATTCCCCGTAAACGAGTGGAAAGTGAGTGGAGGAGAGTCGATTGCATTTTTCGTTGCATTATTTTACCTTGGCAGCTTTATTAATTGCGTGCAGGGGCCTGGTTTATGCTCTCGGCCATTGGCAGCATACAATATGCTCATAGATACTTGGCGCCACTTTCAGTAGAAAAAGAGATGCGGCTCCGCATGAAACCGCAGAAAATAGCGCATCTGTCAGGCCGCAAATCAACTAATAATTTAGCCATGTAAAGTCGCCAGCGATACGACTTCCACTTCCTATGCCCATGTGGCGCACACACGTGCTGCTGCTCTGGTCATGCTTCATACTTCATGCTCCACCTACAGCACGTTGCCATAATCTGCATTCCCGACCCGCTAACGCCACCGCAACAAAGATCCACACAGAGAGAAAAAGTCACATAGGAATTTAAATATTAATTAATTATTAAATACAATAATTTACTTACATATTAAAAAATGCATATATATTTATGATAAGGCTATAAATTTCTTAACTTTATTATCATTAATTCTCTAAAATGTAGTATTTTAAAACATTGGATTTGTGTGTATACCAATTATATAGTTTGTTCCTGCTTGTTTTGATTTACGAATAATTTAATCGAATTTGATTTGCACAAATGTATTCTATTAATAAGCGTATTTTTATGACCTTTCAAAGATGTAAAAATATTGGCAAAAATATTGCTAATTTACATGGAAAATTGATTCAAGTGAAACGTTTAAAAGTGAAACCCGGAAGGCCAAGTTTAGTAATTGCATAGCCCTATCTTAATATGATTACAGTAGCTTTGCAAACGCAATGAGGCCTATACTTATAGGTTTTTTTTGTGGTACACTCGTATATCGCTCAACCAAACAAATAATACCCCTTCCCGCTTCAGGGCATTACAGTGCGTATGCGTCACAGTGCATATTTTAAGTTCGCTGATATAACTGAAGAGCAGGCCTCTAGACCGTGAGCAGTCAAGCGGAATCCGTAGCAGCTTCCAAGAATGCTTGCTATGTGGGGGTGTGACGTCTCATTCTCATTCTCCGTCCAGAGTCTTCTATAGTATCCACAACCAATCCCACATCCATCGCAAATATTCATTGAGAGATTTCTCGCACTCTGTTTGGCTTTTCTGTCAGCGCGATTGTCTCTCATCGATGGCAAATTGCGACAATTCTTCGGACTTCGTCATTGTTATTATGGTTTTCCTTTATGTTTTATTTCGATTTACGAGAATTTACCCGCTGCCGATACACCGAATTAAGCCCATGTGTTTACATGTGATTTATCAACTGTTTAAATACGGCTCTGGGAGAGATGATTAACAAGGGTAATCGGCTGTTGATTTTGCATATTTAAATGTAATAACCATGAGCAATGCTGTACAATTAATAAAATACGAATTAGTCAAATGTTTGAGGGCAGGGTTTGTAGCTTATCCATATTTAATAGCGATTTGCATACCATTAATAACTGGCTGACTAACGATGGAGGATTCTGGGAAATGGGCAGGCAAATCAAAGAAAATTTCCATGGTCAGATTCGTAATCGGAATTTGGCACTTATCCAATGGATTAATAAGCGGCCTTTTGCTAGTTGTTTTTTCTTTATTTCCGCAGCAAATAAAATAGCAAAGCCTAAAAGGCCGAGTGCCATCGTTGGCGTACTGTAATTTATAGAATTCCCATCAGACAGCGAAATACAGATTGTGATTGCTTCGATATCTTTATTCTCCACTCGGAAAGAAATAGTTGTTTAAAATATTTAAAACCAATTATATACATACTATATATTTTACTTAAGTAAAGATCCCTTTATTTATTAGCCAATTTAGAATCAATTTTCTAAGAGTCTCTACAAGCAGAAAAACATTGAAATTCCTATTAAGTCGAGAATGATAATCTACAACTGAATATATATACATATGAAACTAAGAGTCATTTTTATATGTGAATTGATAATAATAGAATATTATTTCATAAACTTTTGTAAAATATATTCTTATATTTTTGTGTATATTAATATTATTAGCAAGCCCTCTGAAATCATTTTCTACGCCTGGTTTTACTTTTGTAAGATCAGGGAAAATTCCATCTGTATATTGTGCTATAATGCAAGTTACACACTACATAATTATTAAAGCTATATTCAGCCATATTACATATGCATTTTCCCATTTTTCCCAAAAGTTAGTAATGTATTTTCCTCTGTGCACTTGCAGTTCCAATTCACCAAGTTCCCCAGCGTGCTGAAGGCTGGACATTGCCACGGCGGTGTGGCCACCGCTCGCCTGGAGAACCAGAGCGCCCTGCAAGATGCCGCCGGATTGGTGAGCGGTGCCGGCAACGACTCGCATTGTTATTGCACCATCGAGCCCTATATTGATGCCAAGTTCAGCGTGCACATCCAGAAGATTGGCAACAACTACAAGGCGTTTATGTAAGTGACCGCAAATGCGAACCGCAGACGGCTGAAAAGCCTCAATGCGGATGGGTCGAGTGGCCTGACCTTGGTGGCGACTGCAACTGTCAGCAGACGCAGACAAAAGCGACCGCTTTTGCAATTGGCAATGGCAATGGCAATGGCTATGCCTATGGCAATTATCCTACCAAGTGCAGCGGCATGGGTTCATTGTTTGCCGGCCAAAATGCGGTGACGGGTTCAAAGATCTCTCGCCCCTCAATCCATGTGTGGCTTCACATTATCTACGCTTTTTTCGCCGCTTAATTTATTATGCCATGCTCACTCGCTTTCGCTCTTTAACAGGCGCAAATCCATCACCGGCAATTGGAAGACCAATCAAGGCTCGGCCATGCTGGAGCAAATCACTTTAACCGAGAAGTACAAAACCTGGGTGGATGAGGTAAGTCATCGAATCGAAACCATGAGACACTAAATCAAATTGGTGATTAATGTCAGGCCTCTTAGCAGACTTGAGTGTACACTATAAACACAATACAATACTTGTCCTTAATGGATCTTCTTGTTTTTCTACTATACAAACTTTATTAGGCTAATATATGTGGTTACCTTTAAAACATATTGTTTTTATTTGAACCAATTTAATTAAAAAAATGAGCTGATTATATAACTTTTAATAGAGAAAAAAAGAAGATGAATATCTGTAGCCAGCAAAAAAAAGACCCATTTAAAAAATGTCTTGTTAGTCATTTATAAAATTTATTTTTAGATCCCAAACAATCGCCATGTAAGGGCATTTCATGGCAGATTTCCATTCCAGCTCCTTCACATGGCCCCAAGCTCGCTGACTTTACTGTTAGTGCCTCGAATTCTGAGTCGAGACATGGAAATCTGGTCCCAAACTGCTTAGCTTGGCTTAGCCCAGTTGAGTTCAGTTCGCATTTATCAAATTTGGCCAATCAATATGGCTAAGGAAAATCGCTTTAAGTTATTTGCGGCGTTTTGGGTGAACAAATTTGATTTCGGCTGCTTTCCGATTCTCCCTGAGGGGGTGGCATGCACACATGGACCAGGCACCAGAAATCATATTCGATTGACGTCAGACGACGGCCGAGTTTGCAATGCCCTCGGGCGGCGGCACTACTTTAATTAGAGCTCATGAATATGCAAATCGCAAAACAGTTAAACGGATTTAGCCGCCAATGAGCGATGAGGTAACGGGAGTTTGTGGCATTCAAACCATTTTCAGACAGGCGCCTTATAATTCAAGATGATATTTGGCTACATGGGAAACCCATCAGATTTGGCATTCTATCAATGCGAATGTTCCGTATCTTGCTCAACTCGATTTCCTTTGACTCGCGACTGACTCACCCAATGGCACTGCATATGTGCATTAATTAATTGCCTTTTACTGACGCATATATTCCGCGTTCAAGTGCCATTCATTAGATAAGGCGGCAGCAGTTTTCAGTTACATGCCGAGAAAAATATTCGGAAATTAAGATATATTTGAGGAAGCCACTGTGAGAAAATTTAGGTAAATTTTCGATTTTTTTAAATAAAATTAAACTACTAAGTTTACTTGTAGACACCTTTTTATAATGTACTTGTCGTTTGTTTTATTGACACATAAAATAGGCATTGCCAAACTGCAGTACTTTATAAAGTACTGTATTATAAATATTTGGAACATGGCAAATATTCGGGAAGCCACTTCAAATCCACTTTAATAGTTAGAATAATATATAAAAACTTGAAGTTTGAAAATCGCGTTGTTACCATATGACCCACACAACTTACTTCAGACTTTTAGGAGCATACCGTATTAAAAATCTGTTAATGTTTTAACATTTATATGTTTGTGTTTAAATAGTTTTCCCCAAGTGCAATTAAGTGGGTGGGCCTTTTGACGACGTCAGCGCGTTTCTGGGCAAGTCGGAATCAGCATCAGCATTAGCGTTAGCTTTAATCAAAACAAACTGTGTAATTAAAACCGGCACTGGAAACCGGCGGAAGCCCACACATAAATGTTTGAGCCGACTCTTGTCTGACTGCGCTTTCAATCGAAAACACATTTTAGGGTCATGACTCAATCGCAATTCTAATCGCAATGCCGCGCGTATCACTTTCAGATATCGGAGCTATTTGGCGGCATGGAAGTGTGTGGAGTGTCCGTGGTGGTGGCCAAAGATGGACGCGAGTACATCATCAGCGCCTGCGACAGCACATTCGCCCTCATTGGAGACACCCAGGAGGAGGACCGCCGGCAGATCGCCGATCTGGTATCTGGACGCATGCAGGTTGGTTTTTAATTTTATGATGTCATCTAACTTCCCATTAACATCATTGTTTCAGTTTCATTAAAAACCACCA